TCTCGTGTTCTACTCTACGGCGAATCTGCGGTCTACGAAATAATTTTGCGATCGCATACTAGACCGAAAAAATGCCATGTTCTGCCAAAATTATTCCCCCTACTCCCCAACGCACTGCACAACCCAAAAAGTTTGTATCTACAACCTTCAAACACATTAGCTTATAACGGCTCCATAAAACCGTACAGGGACTTACATACAACCCATGTACCATAAATTATTTTCAAGATGTCTCCATAAAAGTGAATCACTATAGCATAAAAGTGAATACAGCAACAAGTTCTTCATTGATGAATCAAATAAAATCCAAGAAAGAAGAAATGCTGAGCCAAAAAAAAAAAAAAGAACACACATCAAACACAAATTCACACCTTAATAATTTCACTTGTTGCTGCATATGACGAGAGGTAAGGTTGCATACATCCTACCCTGCTCAGACCTCACTTGTATGAATTATATTGGATTGTTGTTGTTGTTGTATGATGACAACACTAAGAATGATCTGGGATAAATAGTAACCCCTCCCCTATTCCTGTTTCCTGGAATCCCAACAATTCTAACAACATCTCCAACCTTCAGATCAGAATGAAAATTAGTAAATTCGTATGAGGCAACATAGAGTTACTCACATGTGCCTTAACTTGAACGGTGGCGCCTTCATCTTCTAAATCATAACAAAACAACATTACAGAAGTCGAACGTGTGGGTAAGGATTTTCATAGTATTGCCTCAGATCCATGCCCTCTTCATACGCTGCAGAATGCTGCTCTGGTATCTCCATTTTTTTAAAACTCCGATGAGAGTAAAAAACCCTAATTGATGATGCCGTTGTTTGTAAATTGAGTAGAATTAAATAAGGCGTAATGGCTCCCTGACCACTTAAACTTGCAAGGCTTTTGAAAGCCGATACACAAACTTTGGACTTTCCCATTTGAACACTCAAACTCGTGAAACCCTTAACTAATAAACACATTTGACCTTTGAATCTACGCGCGTATATTACACATTTACATACGTGTCCATCCCGTCAGCAAATGACCAATGAGATTATTACACGTCAAGGGCGTGAATAAATTTATTAATTTCTACTTTTTCTTCTATTTCCCTTATTTTCTTCTTTACCATAGTTGTGCAACTTTTACCTGATGGGGACGGAGCAAAACGACGTCACCGAAAAACGATGGCGCTGCCTGAATCGTCCAACAATCTTTGCAAACTCCAAACCCTGTTCTCTGTTGCTAAAGGCCAAGTATCTCAAAGGCCTCCACTAATTATAAATACTCTCCTCTGTATTCTTGAGTACTTGAAAAAAACTGATTAAAGATATGGAAGATGAGCATGTAGGAGCAGAAGCCACTCAAGAAGAAAGGGAAACTACAAAAAGAAGAAGAAAATTACTGGAACAAAATCAACATGGAACTAAAAGACGAAGAGAAACTCAACGAATTTAGAGTACAAAATGGAGTTCATCGGCATATCTCTAACTCTCAATCTCACTTTCTCTAACTGATAAAACCTCAAAATTTTCCTAGCACCATTCACTGTAATTTTCCCCATCGTCTCCCCCGAAAAATCCGTCGTCTCCGTTGTCGGAGCCAGTGGAGCTAGGCCTTCAAATCTAATCCTTTCTCCGGTAACATTCATAGACCTTAATTTTTCTCTCAATTTATCTCCCATAGGAATTGATAAAAATTCCGGCAGTCTAGCTCCATGGTTAATTTCTCTTTTTTGGAGGAACTGGCGTAATAAGGCGGAGTCAATAAACCCAGCCACCATCTTCTTCTTCTTTTTTGGTTTTTCTTATAGTTTCTATTTTTTTAAAAAAAAATTTACAATCTTTTTAATGAATAATAACATATACACGCGTCATTTGAACGTGACTTGTACGCACTATGTCCACGTAAGATAAGCTACCGCCACATAAGCATAGTCAATTGATAACAACTAGGTCGGAAATCCAAATTAGAGTAAGAATTTGAGAAGTAAATGCGGAAGCAATAACAACAAGGAATTGAACAACTAGAATTAAAGAGACGAAATAAAGGATATGGGACGAATTCAAGGAAAGAATTCCAAGAACTTCCAAGAACGTGAGTTCTATAGCCTTGACAAGATCAAAGTAACAACGTCTTGATTTATGGAAGAAATCAAACGCCTTTACTTAAAAAGCAAATCAAAACAATAGATTCGGATCTTGACCACTTTACGAGTAACTTGAGACAACAATTAATAACTAGTATTAATCGCCTTCTAAGAATACCACAAAGGAATCAAAGATATCATAAAAGAGAAGTAATCTTACTACCTTGAACTAAGAACTAGTAAAGGTTGAAAGATAAATCTCAAAGCACAAGTAACAAAGGTTCAAAAGAACTCTCAAAGTATGATATACTTAATCAATAAATGTTGTGTCTTATGAATGAGAAGAACTCCTTATTTATAGGAGTTAAAAGCACTTAAAATAATGTAGGGGGTTGCTAAAAAGTCATCTAAATTAGGTAGGGGGCTGCTAGGGGTCACAATAGCCATCAAACTTAGGTAGGTGGCTCCTAAGGGGTAACAAAAGCCATCAAAATTAAAGGGGGGGCGGCCAAATCCTTTTGGGGCAGATTTGGGCCTTAAAACTATTAGTTTGGGCCATTGGTTTGGACTCCAATTGGGCTCCTTTTGAAACACCCCCTTTTGGACCTCTTTTAAGGTCATTTTGAGCCTTATTGGTGGACTTCAAGGGCTGATTTGGTAACCCAATCTTCCTCCTCTTGGACTTCAATTTGGACTACCAAATAATTGTAAAACTTGGACAATTCATCTCCTTTGGGCTTGAGCTCTTCCTCTACAATTAAAAGCTTCTTTATTTGCCATTGAAGTCTAGCAACCTTAGCTTGCAACTCTTTAGCTTGAGATCTTGTAAATGGCCTTGGAGCTTCCAAAACTCTATCATCTCTATCATTGTCCTTAACTATATCCTTGTTCTTGATGCTATCATCAATGGTCAAAGGTGTTTGCTAGTTGTAGGTTTTACCAGTTTGAGTGTTTAAATGGGAAAGATAAAAATTTGTGTATCGATTTTCAAAAGTCCTACAAGTTTAAGTGGCCAGGAAGTCATTTCGCCGTTAAATAAGTTTGTGAAAGTTGTATATAAACTAGTGTTTTAAAAGGCATAGTCAAGAGGCAACACGTTTTATTTAAGGAAACTTACATAAATGTCTCAAATAAAGTCTCAACTTACCAACCTCTAGCCATTAGTCATAGACTTACCCAATTATGGAGATTTATAATTTCTCAGACTAAGCCAACGTGGAGGATTTATAATTTCCTTCTACAAGAAGGAAAACCAAATTATGGTAAATATGTTGCCCTTATGAAACAAAATATGATAAGAAAATTAGGACAACACCTAACACCTCCGCCCCTGCCTTCCCCTATTTACGTATTATATTTTTCTTTTTAATTTGTTCCAAAATAGTAAATTTTACATTTATTTATTTAGGAACAATTTAACTTTAGAATACTCTTTCTGGAGATGTACGTAATACTTCCAAGTTCCAAAAAAACTTTCAACCAGAAATAAGATTTAAAAAAAAAGAAGAAGAAGAAAACACTAAAAAAAAGATCTACGATCAAAAAACCCTTAAACATCAACGGGACCAAAGTTGGTATATTAATATTGTTTTTAAGTATCAAAGTCCATGGGCCAGATATTAAATTGGACCATGTGATATTGATTTTGTATAGCTAGAAAAAACAGTTAAAAGAAAGTACTAACAGATAAAGGTGACAGAATAATACCTACCAGTCTACCACTGATCTACAGGGTATTTAAACACATGCAATTTGAGAATATTGGCTGTGTCCCTTTGGCTTTTCCAAAAGTTCCAATGGCTTCTTCTTCTTCTCAACTGATATTTATTTACTTTTTTGCATGCATTTTATTTGCTTTTGCTAAAATTGCTACAAGTAATTGTTACAAATCTATTTTTGGATTTGGTGATTCTCTTACCGATGCTGGAAACTTAGTTCACATCTACCCAGAGGCTGAGAAAAAATATAAAATTATATTTTAAAAATGATGGGCCGGTCAGCGGGGCCATCGGCCCACATAGGGCTGGGTGAGCCGACCATTATAAGACTCATCAAAATGGTGGGCTAGCACAACCTAACTCGTCAATTACTAAAGTTCACGTGGGCTGGACTGGGCTAACCCGACCGACATATATTAACATCTCTAATATTTAGTTGAAAATATACTATGAGTTAACTTTTTATTATTTAAGTCTAAAAAAGATTTATTAAGAAAATTTGGTTCAAAGTTGGAAACATTCTCAGGATTATGCCCCAAATGAACGCCCAGAACGTTGGGCTTACACCTATGCGAACGGTTGGAATGTCCGGGCTTACGCCACGATACTTACGCACCATCAGTATGCTTTGATGAGCTTTTGATACAGCTCGGCCAAAAAACACCATTTAAAACACTGATATAAATAGAATGAAATAAACATTTTGGGGCATCCAGATAGGGAGATCGACTGATAGTGTAAAGTAAATTGGTAATCTAGCAAATGAAAATAACCTTTAATGAATTGCAATAATAACCACAATTTCAATCGCAAACCAAAATAAAAAATCATGTAAAAGTAACTAATTCACACTCCATTCTTCTCATTAAGAGCTTCGCATATATAAATGTCACTAAGGTTATTGAAAGATACAAATACATATAAATGATACAACGTAACACGTATAAAACTGAAGCAGATCAAGAAGCTCTTCTTTAATTAATTTAATAAATCAGAATCCAACGACCCAAGCCAAAAGAAAAACGCCAACACAATCCACATTTCACACACAAACTTCACTTAATGCTAGAGAAGCAACAACCTTGTTAAGGAAATTCACATAAATTTCGAGGTTCGAACACAAAAATTCACTAACCGAGCTGAAATGATTAGTGATGAAAGTAATTCCCACGAATTGAGAACATTTAAGCATAAGATAAATTAGTGTCCACCACCCGAGCCACTCCCACTACCCTCAACCAATCCTCCACCAAATCCAGTACCACCACTTCCTATATGGTCATTACTTCCACCAATACCAGTTCCCAACCCCCCTAAACCGCCACCACCACCGCCTGAGCCACCTGCACCGCCAAGCAACCGCCTTCCTAAATGGTCATTACTTCCACCACCAGAGCCACTACCACTACCACCATGCAATCCTCCACCTATTCCAGTACCAGCACTTCCTAAATAGGAACTACTTCCACCGGCACCAATTCCCCCGCCAAATAAACCGCCTCCGCCTCCGCCTGAGCCACCAGCACCAAGCAACCGCCTACCAAACATGTCAGCAGAAACCATGCCACTGATAAAAACAATTAAGAGAACAACTCCAAGAAAACGAGCTGAGAACCTCATTATATTAAAACTTTAATAGGAACCAAGAATATTTATAAAAAAGTAGAAGGGGAAATAAAAATGATTGATTAGTCAAGAAGCCTTGGAATGAGAGAATGCACTTCTATGGGGAAGTATATATAGTGTTAAAATTGATGACCATTTCCTTTTCACTTTTCAGTAGTCGACTAACATGAACATTTTAATATTGACCATGTGTGTCAGGAGTTGTCAATAAATTATATCATTGTGAACTAAAATATGCTACATTTAAAGATGTTAGGCAATTATTTTAATATAGTATATGGCTTCTAACTGATATAGGAATCCGTGTGCAGTTAGTATATGATTTTAATCCGTATCATCAAGGATTAAAATATTTATGCTCGTATATAGTCATAGTGGCTTCCCATGAAGTCTAGGGGTGTCAAATGGGCGGGTTAGGTCAATTTTGGGCGGGTCAAAATGGGTTGAGTCAATAATTGGGCGGATCAAATTACCCGTCCAAAAGTTATTGGGGCTAAGATGGGTTGGGTCAAGATGGGTTAAAATTCGGGTCATAACCCAACCCGCCCAACTCTTATTAAACTTTAATTAATATGTGTTATTTTCTTTTAAATTGTATAATTACTAAATAAAGTTTTTTTGCTTTTGTTATGGTCATATTTAAAATATTAAACAAAAAATAAAATTATTTCTAAGATATTTTGACAAACTTGCTTATGGATCAATTTGGGCTAAAAATTAGCCCAACTTTAAATGAGTTGAGATGGGTTGAGTCAAGATATGCTAAGTTCAATAAATGGGCAGGTCAATAACCAACCCAACCTTGGACGGGTTGGGCGGGTCATTTGGGCTTGGGCCAAATTTGATAGCCCTACCATGAACTATGCAACTATCGATGGAAAAATTGGGCTGCGATTTGCATTTGTCAATAACATGATTTGATAAAGATTGTGATGAAATTTCAACTCATATCGTCATATTATTTAAAAGTTTTCAAAGAAAAATTTTATGGTTAAGGGAAAATCATAGATATTTACACAGAGAATATAAGGATGTAACTCGCGTTAAAAAAGGTTAGGACGTATGTAGCTGAACAATATGGAGTCAGTATAAAACTCAATAAATCTCATGGATCATCTAAAAGTTAGGACATATAACACCCTTACACATCCAAGTATGTTGGTTCCAACTGGATGCATGTTGGGGGACAAACGAACACACAAGTATACGCGGTCGTTAAGTAATAAAGTGACTAACAGTCGGATGTCGAGCCCATGAGAACTTGTGATTAACTATTAACTAAATTAGACTATCATAATTATCAGAGCAAGAATTAAACCTAGAAGTAGTGATGCTAAGGTAATTAAACTAAAAAGAAAAGAACTAATGAACTTTAAACGGAGGAGGGCAGATTTTTATATTATTAATGTGATAAAAAGGATCTAGGGTTATGGGCTGGAAAATATGAAGTTAGTATAAAACTCAATAAATTTCATGGATCGTATCTAAAAGTTAGGACATAACACCCTTACAAATTCAAGTATGTTGGTTCCAATTGGACGCCTTCTAAGGTTGTGAACTTCTTGTTTAGTTGTTTAATTCGAGTGAAATTTGTACATAAGGAAAGATGGATAACATATAAATGATAGAAGTATATGTATACTTGTATATCATAAGGATAATTAACTATTATGATGATGTGGTCCATCAACGTGTTACACCAAGTTAGAATTAATCGTCTCAGCCTCAATTCTTCAATAGCTAACATATTTGGATATATAAATTTTGCTCAAATAGTGTATTTGTATTAAAAAATTTATTAAATATATATACATATTAAAATTAGAATCCAGATATTAGCACTTGAAGTTTTGTTCTAAAATCGAAAATTCATAAAATTAAAATCATGCCTTTATCTCTGCTCACGAGCATATAACTATAACGAAGAGCTTGTTCGAAACATCTCTCTTTCTACCAAATGATATTTCTTGTGGTCTTTAGTCTAGTCATCTTCAACACTTTATTTTTTCTTTTCTTTTTTTATGCTTTACCAATAAAATTCAACCACCTATTGTGTTGACCTGAGCGGTATAAGCTTTGATGATTGATAAAGGGACACATGCATGAATCAGATCCATGGACATTGTACACTAAATACGGTTAAAATCAAGTAAAAGGTATGCACGTGCAAGGGAAAAGTATAAGTGATTATTTCTTATAATCCCTCAACGAAATGATTGCATATTTGATAAGGAGTAGGACTCCTTACTTGAAGATAACTCTGTCCAAGATAAGAAAAAAATTAGAAGTTAAAATTAACTAGAACTCTTCCAGCACGGAAGAGCAAAGCATCAGGGCTCTTGTTAATCCTAATCCTACTAACTTTATAAATATCAGTTTGTTCTCTTTACAAGGATTTCATACATACTGAAGTAAAGCAAGAATTGAGAGCAAAATAGCAAGTCATTTTGTGAGCAATTCCTGTGAGATTCGAGGGTGCAAACGTGAAGCTACATGAACATGATTGAAGAATCAGTTTCATGTGTCTGTCTTTAATACTAGTTTCATTGTAGTAGGAGCATTTGAGTTGTACCTTTCAGCTTTCGTTAGAAGCATTTGTACTAGGTACTTGAGTTGTATCATTCAAATTAACTTGAAGTAGTTGCAACAGCCCGTGGCGTGTTGCTACAAAAGTTAGAGTTTAATCCTTAGGTTTGCAAGAGTTTGTAAACTTTGATTTGGCTCAAAGTTTAGTGAAGTATTTGCGAAAAATCATACTGAGAAGTAAGTCGTGGTTTTTTTTACCTTTTGAGCCAGGTATTTTCTACGTAAAATACTTGTGTTCTTTATTTTTTTGTATTACTTATTTCGCAACTGTAATTTAAAAAACGCATAGAAAAACCAAGTCCTTCTATAATTCAATGCACGTAAAAATTAGGCACAACACAAATAATCCCCTCGTGTGGCATTGAAGTACAAAACATCATGTTGCCTGTTGGTGGCTTTAGTTTAAAAAGGGACGATATAAAACAAAATCCCATGTCTCATATTTGGTAGTTGCATAGTTCATGGAAAGCCACTAAGACTATTTTATTTCTAATCATGCATTGCTTAATTCGATAAGATCTTTTGTAATGATCCACTTAGTTTCTTAATGATTCCTAAGCAATATAAAATTATCTGCCAACTATTAGGGAAGAAATCTCATATTATTGTATCAGTTTATAAAACTAACAATGGTGCGAATATTTCAAACTTCCTAAAACATGCTTAATTAAAATGTCACTGTGAGTTGAAAATGAATAAAGAAGAGGCCATTTTAACACTATATATACTTGACTAGAGAACTGCATTCTCTCATTCTGTAACGATCCGATCAGTCATTCCGAGAGTTTTAGCTTCGTTTTCCCCATTTCTGCTTTATTTTGTATGGTTCGGCTCTTTTATGTTGTGTTGAGTTGATTAGTTCGGGTTCGGAATGATTGTAGAGAGAAATAAGACACTTAGTCTCTTAAGTTGATTATAAAATTGGAAAAGTCAACCGGAAGTTGACTTGTGAGTAAATCATCTCAGAACTTGGTTTTTATGATTCGGATAGTTTCGTGAGGTAATTTGGGACTTAGAAGCGTGATCAGAATGTATTTTGGAGGTCCGGAGTAAATTTAGGCTTGAATTGGCGAAATTGGAATTTTGGCGTTTTCCAGTTGATAGCGGTGATTTTGATATAGGGGTCGGAATAGAATTCCGGCAGTTGGAGTAGCTCCGTTGTGTCATTTATGACGTGTGTGCAAAGTTTGAGGTCATTCAGACAAGGTTTGATAGACTTTTTGATCGAAAGCTGAATTTGGAAGTTTTGAAATTTATTCTTAGGCTTGAATCCTATGATGATTTGATGTTTTGATGTTATTTTGAGTGTTCCGAAGATTGGAACAAGTTTGAATGATGTTATGGGATATGTTGGCATGTTTGGTTGAGGTCCCGAGGGCCTCGGGTGAGTATCGGATGGTTAAACGGACCAAATTCTTGTTTTGGAAGTTGCATATTTTCCTTCAGTTATGTTGCAGACATTTGTTCTTCGCGATCGCGTAGTGGGGTTCGCGATCACGTAGGCTTTGTGGGGAAGAGGTAAAATTTGTTAAGTGCGATCGCGAAGGTTAGAACGCGATCACGATTGGTTGGGAGGTTATGGTTCGCGAACGCGTAGCCAATATCGCGCTCGCATAGGAGAGAAGGGGCTGGTGTGAAGTGGTGAGGTTTGTTCTATGCGATCGCGTGGGTGAGACCGTGATTGCATAAATTAGCAGAAGCATAGCTTCGCGATCGCGTGGATTTTTATGCGATCACGTAAGGTTAAATGAGGAAAGTCAGTTTTGTGCTTCGCGATCGCGTGGCATTTTCCGCAATCGCGATTAAGGAATTAATGCCTAGGCAGAATGTTTAAATAGCCATCTTAACGAATTTTAGGCCATTTCTCACCATTTTTGGCCGGATTTGGAGCTTTTTAAGAGGGATTGACGAGTGAATCGAAGGAAAACACTTGGAAGTAAGATTTTCGAACTCAATACTCGATTCTATGTTGATGTCTACCTAATTAGACATGAAATTAGTAGGATTTAAAGCCTAAAAGTGGAAAATTAGGGCTTGAAATTGGAGAACTTGATTTGAGAGTTTGAGGGGTCGTTTGTGGTCGGATTTTGATGTATTTGATATGTACGAACTCGTGAGAGTGTAAAGATTCTAGTTTTGTGATTTTTATCGGATCCACTACAAGAAAAAGCCTTATTAGGGACCAAAATATTAGGACAACTGGAAAATCTGGTCCCTAAGTGTATATAAATAGGGTCAAGATTATTTTCTGGCCCCTAATTCTCGTTAAATTAGCGAAGAGACTAAATCTGGTCTGTAAAATTGTAGATATCTGGTCCCTAGTATAAAATAAGCGGGAGATACTAGAGAGCGAGGCACTAATTGAAATAAAAACTAAATAAAAAACAACATTCCAATATAACCTCTCTCTTTTATTCAATTAAACCTCTTGTTTGTCAAATTTTGGTTCTTCAAAACCCTAAACTCTTTTGGATACACTCGATCTAACAAATCATGCTACTAATCCATGTGAGCCCTCTTTTTCTGGAGATGGTATATGCAAAAATATCCTAGAAATCTGATCTAAATTTTTACGTCGCTGATGATTTAGGCACGAAAACTACAAAGAGATGTAAGTCCTTATATATATAAAAAATTCTTCTTTTCTTCCCCCCCCCCCCCCAGTTAAACTCGTTCATCTATGTAATTTATAAATGGTGTATATTTTTAAACTTTTGTGATTTATTTGTGAAAGAGTGGCGGGGGTTTGCCATTATAAATTCGTATGCCATTTTGGAATATCAGCGAGGGGACAATTGGGTAAATCACATGCGAGAAAGTCTACTTTTCCTAAACCCAGGAAAGATCGAAATAAAATTTTAAAATTCCTTCAGATTTGGTTATATATTTTGGGATTTGGCAAACTTGTCCTTTATTGAATTTTATGGGGGATTTGGGTTTTTATTATTTTCTCTTAAAAATTACTTACCCTACAGCTCGTGCTGATAGAACTCTCAACTTTTTGGATCTAACATCTCTGGTTGTTCTATGTCATGTCCGGGCTTTGGGGAATTGTAGTGATTTCAGTAAGAGATACTCTTTTGGGGGGTTCACTAATCAGGTAAGTATATGTTCATCCTTTCCTATATATCTTTGAGAAGTAGACGGAGACGATGATTCGTAAGTGTCATTGATTTGGTACAAATAGAGTTTTGGGTGAAGCTTGAGGTTTTTGGTGCTTTCTTTACTATAGTCTTATTGTGCGACTAATCCAATTAATTAGATTATGATATTCTCTAGTTTGCAAATCACTTTGTTTGGATGATGGTTGCTTCTGTAATTTTGCATGGTAAAATTAATCTCTTTTTAGCATGAATATGTTGATGCTTGATACCATTTGGGTTGTTCGTGGTTTGTGGGGCAGGGGAGGAGATGTGATGGGAGGGGAGGAAGCAAGGTACTGGATTTTGTGACTGAAAATCCAGATTTAATTTTTCAATAGAAAGGTAAGAGAAAGCTTAGCAAAAGTGTGAAGTTCTAAAATTTTGCGCTAGCTCTATTTAAGCGTCCTTTTAATGGTTGATAACTTACCTAACAATTTAATTTTTGTTGCGAACTATAAAATATTATTTTCTTTCGTGGACTACTTGTTATTTTTATTGCAATTGGCCATACCAAATTTTTTAAGGTTCTATTGTGTTCTCTTGGTTTTATCATTGTTTGACTTTTGTGCTAGCCATTTACACTATAGTTATTAACAGATGTCTATGTCTATATTGTCACTGCCCTTGAGCTTTGGTGGGTGAAACCCGTTCATTTTGGATCAAGTGCCATTTTCCTACAGTTTAAAGGTCTCATTATTTTAGTTTATTGCCTTGATAAACTTGATTCTCTAATGTATATTAACGGGCTAGTGTTGAATGAATCTTTATTTCACAAACAAATAGCTCTTTTTAAGTGAAAACATTGCATTAGATTTATCATATCTTTATTTAAGCATGATATCGATATAAGAAATGTTAGAGCAATTTACGCACTGGCGCTAATGGTTAGTGAGCGGTGACTATAATTGTTTTAACATAATGTAATATAGGTCTGAGGAACAACTTTTATAATTTGAGTAGTAGAATACAATAAAATTCTTTCGTTCTGTCATTAGAAATTTTTTATCACTGTTGTAGTAGGCAGCAATGGAGCTGAAAGACTTCATGGAGAAACTGGCCTTGTTATTGGAGTACTATGGGTATAGGGTAAGCAACATTTCAAGTCCTATACATTATTCTTTTTCTCTATCTTATGAAATTTTGCAAGTTCTTTCATTTTATTTACAATGTCCATTGACTTTTGATTCTTCTTCTTTACTGATGCATTAGACATGTCATAGTTGAAGAATTGTTGAGCTTGTTCATGAAACAAAAAATATTCAGATCAATGTAAGGAGAAACTGGCAAAAGAAGTGGTATGAATTAAAAAGGTCTATATCTGTCTTGTTACTCTACTCCTGCGGGGTAGGAGTAAGGTCTGCGTATATACTACCCTCCCTAGACCCTACTAGTGGGATTTTACTGGGTTGTTGTTATTGTTGTTGTTGTATATCTGTCTTGTTATCAGAAGATCATTGACATCGGTAATTGAAAAAGCCATTGAATACTTCAGTGAAAAGCTTAATATCTCTATACCTTAAATTGTTATGAAGTTTATATTGAATCTTTAATTGAAGATTACTAATCATGTAATTTCATATTGAGTCTTTTATTATGCTTCCCGCATTCAATGACATGATCAATTTTGGGGGCTCTTTCTTGTTTTATGTTTCTTATTTGATTGTACATCTTAGAAAATTGTTATGTCTTCTAGTTTATTTCGAGATTTGATCCCGTTTAAATGAAGCTGTCGTTTTATATAGTTAGCACATTTGGTACTTGTTTATGGATTAGCTTTAAATACTTGATCTCAATATTATATATAGACTGGAGTTTGGATCCATGTCATGTTAAATTTCAGCTTCATGTTTCTTAATGTTTAATGATCAGTTTTATAAGGTTTTGCTCATGTTCAATAATTTGTGTCAATGATAAAAGAATGCTAGCTTCTACTCTAACATTGTTTGTTTGATATTCTAATTTATTATCGTTTATATTTTTTGCAGCCCCTTTTTCCTTGATGTTTCAAATTTTGAAGGTGCATATAATTACACTTGATAGAATCTGACATGTGAGTGGTTAAGTTACTACTACTCTTAATTTAGATGAAATTTTTTAAACCAATTTTCTAGTTCATCCTTGTAGCTTTTTTCATAGAATATTTTATATTTTTCACAGGTTTTGGATACTTAGTTTGCACGTCAAGATGTAGGTTTTGAAGACTTCATTCAAGTTGACGAGTTGATTATTATTTTACAAAGATTGCTAGGCAAAATTTTATACTTTTTGCTATAGATGTTATCTCTTCTGCTAAGAGGTGGTGTAAATAATGTAATGAATTATATCATAGTCCAGTGATAGTATATTGAGATGCAAATCTATTTTTTGTACTTCTTCATATATAAAAAAATAATGATAGCATTGATAATTTTGTTGAATCCAATTGATTTCTTGTACTATAAATTGTATAATATTATGGTGAACAGGATTGAAAAAAAAATACTTCTAATATATTGATTTAGGAGCCACAATTTATGGGCTAGTGGAAAGCTTACCCTTAAAGATCCTTTAAGGACCAAATTTATTGTCCTTAAAGACCTTTTAGGACCAGGGTAAATGGTCGCCAGTAATTTGACTATACCAAAACAACGACCAAGCATCATATTTTGGGACTAAGAATATGGTCCTTAAATGTATTTTAGGGACAAGAATACCGTCGGTCGCTAACTACCTTTAAGGACCAGATGTGCAACCTCGTCGTTACTAATTTTTAGCGACGGGTTGCGACCAGTTTTTTCCAGTCGCTAGTGACATTTAGGGACCAGAATTGGACTTGTAAGGACCATATTTCTCATTGCTAATGGCCATTTTTCTTATTGTGATCCGAGACGTGGACCCGGGGGTCGGGTTTGGCCAATTTCGAAAATTTTGATGTAAATTGGTTATTTTTGAGTGGGCTTTGTTCCCTTAGCATATTTTGATGTTATGAAATTTTTTGGCTAGATTTGGAGCATCCGAAGGCCGAGTCGAGAAGCAAAGGCATGATGGACTTAGAGTTTGGACCGGATTGAGGTAATTAATGATTGTAAATGTTGTCGTGAGAGTATGAACCAAATTTTACATCGTTGTGCTACTTTGAGGTGACACATACGCTAGATGACGAGTGTGGGGTTGTGCACCGTTGGGGATTGTGACTTGGTCCGTCCCGTACGAATTGTTAAGTCACGCATTTGATTAAAACCTGTTTGATATCATTGTGTTTGGAAATTATTACTATGTTTTGGGTTGAATGTCATATTTGGGCCTCGCGCCAACTGTTTTGGACCCTTAGGGGCTTTTCACTATTATTCCTCACTATTTTGACTATTATATGTACTCAGTCATGTTGTATTTTACTGATTTCATAACTCAGCCGTATTTACTCCATTTTGAGATTTTTAAATGATATTTTGGGTTGAGCATCATGTTTACTGTTGCCCGAGTAGCTTGAGAGATTTCTAACTAAATGAGGCCGAGGGCCTGTGCTGTGAGGATATTATGGGATCGGGCTATGCGCTGCAACATGTTATCACTGATTCATGATTATGAGGTCGAGGGCCTAATTTGTTATTCCACGAGGTGGCTTGTTATGAGGTCGAGGGCCAGTTGATTATGCCACGAGATAGCTTGTTATAGCGCTTGGGCTGTAGGAGCCCCTCTGGAGTCTGAACACCCTAGTGAGCGCGGGTACCCAGTGTGAGTGATGTGATGTAGCCCGATGGGCTGTTGTTATTTCATATTGTTGACTGAGGGGGTGTTCTTGATCCATGTGTTGCCCGAGGGGCGGTTCTTGATTCATGTTATGCCCGATGAGCTGATTACGAGTGATTGTGAGGTAGCCCGAGGGGCGATTTATGGTACATGTTTTGCCCGAGGGGCTATTTACGTTTCTATCCTTTTCTCACTGTTTTAATCACTCGTTTGAAACTATTGAAAGATATTTTCATCACTCGTTTGAAACTATTGAAAGTTGTTTTAAAAGGTTTTACTGAAACTGAGTTTGATTTACGAAGTAAATGATTTATGTACTGTTTTTGAAATGTACTGTATTTGCTGTAGCGTTATGGCGCGTGTTAGCTTATATGAGTTCGCCAAACTATAGAGTACTTGGTCTTCTATGAGACTGATACATAGAATGCAGTAAAGACTGAATGTAAAGAAGGTAAAATATTTTCTACGTGAAAAAATCCCACACAAGAGGATCAAAATACCATGACCTACTGTTGTAGGCTTTTAACTCTACTAACTTGTAATCTACCTATTACAAACCACTTTGCAAACACCCTATTGCAAAGACTTCAAACTAACTTGTGATGTAACCACCATAAGCCACTCTCTAACTCTCTTAGTTGCAGAGGATTTAACTTATGACTATTCCTATTCACAACATAAACTCTAAAGTTTACGAATTTGGTTTGTTCCTAAGACAACGCTTCTAAAAAAAGCAAACTAGGAATTACAATGTTGAGCAATTAACAAGATTACAACTCAACTATAGATGTACATAAAGCTCGTTTAGAAACTGATCCTTAGTGGAGTTGTCTTCTTGTTCTTGACACACCAGTGACTTCAATACTGGATAAATACTTCTTCTTCTTGAGAGAATATTACTGAATGCACAAGTAATGGTGTGTCTTGCACCAGGTTATTTTATCACAAAGGATAGTGATGTCAACTCTTGGTATACTTCTTCCCAGTGAGAAGTGACTGATGCACTATCTGCACAACCACTTCTGGGTTGTTGCGTTCCAGCTGGATAGTAGACTTTGTACTTCTGTCAGGGCATGCCAACGGACCAACTCCTAGACCTATTCCTCTTCTGTAACAATTGCCAGATGGTCACTTTCTTCTGCTACATTCCAGCTGTACACTTGACTTGTACTTCTATCAGAAAACCCTAAGGGAGCAGGTCCCTATTGTATTCCTCTTTATATTGATTACGTACAGTCACTATCTTGTTTGTGTCGGAGAACCTTAAGGGACCAGGTCACCAGGTCCTTGTTGTGTTCCTCCCTGCGGTTGTTGGTCCAGTTGCTGACAAGTTCATATGAAATGTATCCTGTAGAAAATATTCTCTATCTAGTTCTTCACAACAAGTTTGTTAGATCATCAAAACATAAGAAAAATAAGGCTAAGACATTAAAAACCCATCAATTTCCTCCTTTTTGATGATGACAAACTTAGGCATGGAAAGCATTTGTTTGGGTCAAAATTAACCAGATGAGATACAATTCCCTATTAATCTTAGATTTCTCTCCTTGTCATTTTTAGTTCCCACTCAATCTCAGACTTGATTTTTTATATATCATAGGCATATATTACCCCCTCAACAACATTATCACAGACATATCCCCTCAACAACATCCGCTTCTTTTACCCTTTTGGCATCATTAAAAAGAACAAGTGTGACGAAGAGCGCAAGCAGGTAATAAGCATGAAGAAGTCTAACACAGCTAGCTCATGCCATATATGTGCAGACAACATGACAGAAAAGAGAGGCCAGAGGAGCATAGTATTGTACATGCAAGGAAAAGGGAGTTGTTTTATTAATGTTTATATTGGACTGAGCAATACAGGAGCAGTAATGGTTAAGTTCAACATGTCATCACAAAAATAAGTAAACACAAGTAAAACAGCAGCCATAGGAAGTTGGAGCAAAAATATCTTGACACTAGGGAGGATCCTAGGGAACACTAAAGGAAGGAGGCTTGGAGGAAGAGACAACAATGGTTTTGAGAACCAGGTCTAGTCTAGCATTTGCAGCCAGTTTTTCTTCAAGTAGTTGAGCCTGAAGTCACTCGTTTTCCTTTCTCAGTCGGGAAACCTCCTCATGTACAAAATCAGGTCCCTTAGCTACTTGGCTAAGCCGAGTTTCCAGTATGGCATTTCTAGCTCTCAACCTTCTTATTTCCTCAAAGGCTACATTTTGAGCATTTATCAACTCAGAAATGGTCGAGATGCTTCCACCAACTTTTTCTATACATTCACATTCTTCTAGAGTGGTCTTAGAGAAGGTCTGCTTGCATGTTCCCACTATGGTATTTCCCAAGGGAACCTTATAGAATCTGAACACTTGAGTGAGGAGAAATCCATAAGTTAACCCATGATTGCCACCCTTAAAATTTTCCACCTTCTGCATATAGTCTACCATGATTGCAGGCAAATTGATTGGTACAAACTCATCAAGCGCTTCTGTCAGGACCAAATCTGATTTTGTAGCAATGGAACGTCTCTCAGAGAGGGGTAAGAGTACTTTATTAACCAGTTCAAAGAGAAACTGGTACTCAGGAAGCAATACCTTCTTATGGACCTATTCTCCCTGTTGAATAGAAGCGTCGAGTACAATATCCACTTTGTGTTCTGCTGCTTGTGTAGTGCCATGAGCTGCATCTTTACTTCTTCCTTCAACTTCAGTGGTAGCAAGTGACGTACCGGGTTCTTTGTGAGACATGGAGGATGATGTTCCGTTATCTTTCGCTAGTCTCCTTCATCTTGATCACTTTATCATCCTCCTAATTTGAAGCCTCAGATATTTCCCAGAGGCAGGATTGGTTCATCATATTGCTCCTCACAATTTCTTTCTTGGTAAGGGAGAGTGTCTTGTTGAATATCCCATGAGCATCTCCTACCATTTAGTGCTTTCTTGTTGGAGACCTTGTGGCCTTGTTCAAGGCATTTTCATCCAATTTGGCAGCTCCTGGTGAGTTTTGATTTAGGAGGGACCTGGTCTGATACCTGTTCTCAAAGTAGAGAGCAGTATTCATTCCTTTTGCCCGGAATTTCTTGGCGATTCCATAGGCGATGAGCACGGTTCATGCAGCATTTTCCAGATATGTTCTTTCTTTCAGTTATGCCATTTTGGTTATGGAGTCCTTGGTGTTGAGAAATTATGCGAGATCCCTTCTCCTCCTCCTCCATCATTTTTGTAAACTCATGTCCAGGTGACACTTGAGTTTGGCAGACCACGAACCAGGTCCGGCTGAGTTAGTTTCTTCGGAGATGAGAAATTTGCATATACTACTCCTTTATCCCATGGTTGTGACTTCACTCATCTCATACCGCTAGCTTGTGGAGAAGGATTATTATCAGGAGTGACTGTTCTTGTTCCCTTTGTTCATTGATACTGCTTTTCTAGTTATCAGATTGGTGACTGCACCTTCTTTAGGCCATTCACCTAGTGCTCGTTCTCATTCAAGTGCCAAAAGAACCTTTCTTCCTTTTCATTCACTGAGAATGTACCCTTTACTTTCTTCTCAAGGATACATTCCTTTCCTACATGGATTTTAGTGAGAATCATTTCATGATGTTTTCAGCTGCGTTCTTTAGGCATCCACTGTCCA